CATAACTCTGAGTATTTAAAATAGAGCCTGTCATTAGTTCGAGGTCATCAAAGTTTAATAATTCAAAGAAATACAAGAAGTTAACCTATTATAAAATACGTCGAAAGTAAGGAATGGAGGTAGGTGTTTGACGCAGAACTACTCACGTTTTATCAATAGTCTTAAGGAGCGAGAGTGTGTGCTGACCCACTGACAACAAATCCACTGATCAGTTTTGTGATGGTTTTACTTACCTTCAAATTCGCTTGACAGACCTCTTAGGCTCATCAACTTTACAAGACGTGCATGATTATGCAATTCAAGGCATGTTTTTCCTTAGATAATTAGACCTTGATGATCCTGGACTCCTAATTATAAATTATGGTTTGGTGCTCTGATTTGCAAGCATATAAACTTACCGTTCATCATCTAAAAAGACATACGTTCGGGCTTGCGCAATTCACGTCACTCTGCCTTTAATCATTTAACCAGTACTTGCATTAGTCTTTATTGTAATTACCTAATATCATCGCCAGTGTTCCGTACTCACACAAAAATTCACTTAGCTTCACATTAAAAAGAATGAACTAAATCGCATTATATTTATGAATCTATACATTTTACTTTTTTGTTGTGGTATATACCTAATTTTAAATACGATCCAGTCAAACACCTAGACTTTGCGTTAACTTGAAGCTTGCGTAAGAATGAAGAGCTTCCTATGAGGACATTTTTTGGGTCGTATTACAGACGGAAGCTCGTCTCCTTTTCACCAAAAGTGAAATGCTTTGTGGACTCCGTTAACTTGAGTGTTGTGATAAAATCCAACAACTTTAGAAGGTCGTTGATCAGCCGAATTCTTCTGGTGAAGTCAACCCACGAATATTTTCATCAGGCGCTCACACGAAAAGAAAATAATCGCAACTATCTTCTTAACGCCATACTTTCTATATCAATAAGATATTTAATTATTTGTCCGGATAGCTTTTTATATCCTAAATGTATTAGGTTTTTTAACATATTTCATATCAAATAACAAGGATCTTGTTTCAACGTCGCCATATAACCTGGCCCGACTTCCTGTAATTTGGTATAAAACTTCGTATCGTTGGGTGCGACTGTCTTTATGCTTTTACTGCTATTTTGCCAGGTCACTTACTAGATGGCTAGCGAAACAAGCCTTATCGCTCTATTTAATTTTATTACCAGGTTTTGTATCTTACTTTATTCTTCCAAAATTATTTATTTAATTAAATATGTTGGCAATCTTGTAATTTCAATGTTTTCTCTAATTCTACGCCTCTAAATAAGGATTCCTGCTACTCGGTAAAATCTTGAGCTTCAGATAACTATTGTATTTGCTATTTTGTCGATTTGTTTGGTCTATTCCTATTTTTAGTCATATACATTTTTATAGTCCATTTTCTATTATACAATTCTCATATGTGTGAATTGGCAGGTCTGTCAAACGTTTGCCCAATAACACTGACGCAAACTGTTGCAACCTGGTCTGTTTTGTTTAAGGATGAAATACCACTCTCATTATATTTATCATATGACGAATAAATTTCTGCAAGAGTCCATTAGAGCCATTGTAAAAATCGTATATGACGTCTAAGTTCCAAGACTAATCTTGGGGTTCTCCTTAAATTAACCTATGAAGCTTTACTTATCATTTTTTCATGCGAAATGAAAGATACAAAGTTATTAGTTTCGTCGGGCATGCCGCAAAAGAGGACAATAAATGAACCTTTTATATATACTAAGAAAATGTAGGTTTCGAAGAATCTCTTGAGATAAGATTGATGTGAAGACTTTCATTTCCTATGGAAATATACGAGGAAGAGATTAGTAGGTCGGCAGTTTGGCCTTAATATGATTTTCAGGTTGATGCAGTCTAACGTTTCGGGCCAAGACGGGATTAGCTTTTGTTTGTCGTCTGACGAACATCGTCAAAGCTGATAGGCATTCTTGTAAAAGCCTCAAGTCACCACCAAGCCACACGTCGAACGAAAGCTCAGCCCGTCTTCGCTCGAAATGTTGGAGGATGTCTCGTGGGCTGCATCAACCTGAACGTCGTATTAAGTCCAAACGCCTGCACTACAACGTGAATCAGCCGACGTCTTCTGGTGAGATTGACCCACGAATCTCTTCATCATGTACTTCCATACGAAATGAAGTCTTCACATGTGCCTTTTACATCAGATCCTTGGCTTGAATCATTGCTTCCAGCAAATTAGAATATATTTTGAACTACTGTAAGGCTGCAGTCTCCACCAGTCTCTTCTCATAGTTAAGTTCCTTGGTGCTGAGACTAGTTTTGAACATTCATTTTGTTCTGAGTTTGGATATCGTGCTTTTAGCATTTTGCCTGTCATGTGATATTTTCAGGGCTATTATACTCTCCCATATAGTAAGCTTTATGTGGTGTTCATCAGTGCAATAATTTCCTCATAATTATTTGCACGGTCTCGGCCCTCCTACAATCAATTAAAGCACAGGATTCTGTATCATGGCAAGCACTATTGCTTGTAAACTTTCATTATCGGGGAAAAGTAACCACCGTCACCGAAATCTAAGCCTCATCGTATTTTCGCATTTAATATCTATATATACATTTCAAATCCCCATATAAGTAATACCGTAATATCGAAACATATAAAATAATGAAAAATTTTATTCAAGTGTGTGATGACCAAGATAATGTGGCTTTCATTATGGTCTTGGTCTCTTTTCGTTGTACTGAAGTGGTTTTACCTTGCTTTCGTAACTTTGTCTTATTGTCAGGGAGACTAAAAGGACCGCACCTTGTCCGGAGTTCATAGTATCAGTGTCAGACTGTGGACTTGGTGCACTCCAAGACGTCTTGCCAGCATCATCAATGAGACTTGCCATTCTTAGCATCGAGCTACAACTGCTAACCTTCATATCGGGATAAAATACAAAGCTATCCTGAAAGATTTTGTAGCGATCCTTTTTACCTTCTCACAATTGTTATGCCTCACCTCCATTTCCTTCTATCACTTCTCACATCTCTATCATGACCCTCTCCAAACATTAAATATTTAGAAGTTGTTTGACCCTGTTTTTGCAACTTGGTCATGTTGGTAGGAAGACTTAGAGAAACACACCTAGTCCGGAGTCCATTGTATGCATCATCATTTCCAGAGTATGACCGTGGACGTGGTACATTCCCAGACGTTTCGCCGGCATCGAAGTCGGCATCGTCAGTGAGTCTGGCCATTCGTAACACTATATTACAACTCGACAACGAGACAAGTGAAGCCCATCCTTTGACCTAACGTGTGCTAAACAGTTGTGGTATCTCCCCTTCTGCCCTGGGCTATTCACATTTCCTATATCGTCCTATCACACCTTCCCTGTCATACCTTCGATTAAATATTTACATTCATCACTGTTTTATCTTTCACAACAGGCCGGCTCTGATAAGCCTGAAGCATGGCTGTCTTTAGATGAGGCTGACGGTCCATTTGCCCTGGCTTCAGTCAATTCAAGTTTTAACTTCGAAGTGGCTAAGAAACCCGGACTCGGATCCTGGCATACACAACACGCACTAGTGCAGCCGCGCCAACAAGGTGACCTTAAGTTGAAACCGGAACAACTTAATTTCCATAATCTTCATCATCCATGCCAGCTTGCTGAGCCAGTAGACTCAGGAGGTCAGCGACAACCTCAATACCATCTTCAACAATCACCTCATGAATATCAGATTTTAAATGATACTGCAGAAGGGGGTCGACTAGGACACTATGGCGGCGAGAAGTTGCTTATTCCTGGGCTCATGGCTTGTTCGCTACTTCCAGTGGAGGCTTCACCGAAGGATGGTGGTAACTCAGAGGACCTTTCGACGAACACCCCAACAGGTCTTCGACCCGACCGATTGAGTACGTTACTAACTATCGAACTAACCTCTACACATGTCCACATTCCTTTCACTTTTTAATAACCCTAAAATTATGCCTTAATTAGCTTTGAAAATGGGGTTGACACGTCTCTAAATGAGGCTTCGTCAGTTGCCTCCCTGTTATTTCCCTCTTGCACATACTTTGCGTTCGGCAGAAACTTCGCTTCTCTTTTTACGGCTTTGTTTGCTGGTGGGTAAATTGTATTTTAACGCTTCTCCGAGCCAATTTAGGTTTATTCAGTTTTATATCTGAAATGATTAATCTTTTGCCCTTTGGTCTTGATTGTCTCGATTAACTTTTCTTTGATACTGACGCCGCTTTATCTGTTAGACGCAACTCACGGCTCTAAGCTTGATAATACTGGCTAAAGTATTCAGCAAATTAAAGAGTCCCGATAACCGATAACCCTTTCACATATCTGGCCTTTCCTTCTAGCAACAATAAAAGCAATAATCCAGATATTGCGCTTATAATAATAGTCATTCATTATCTGATAGTTGGCGGCCAATACAATAAAGCTTCTACTTGCTGGCCAGAGATTCGTCTCCGGAGTTTCTTGATATAGTGAACTCCTTCCTACCTCTTTTTAAAAAATCCTATATAATCTGCAACTAATTAGGGCTAAAAGGCATGGTTATACCCATAGATAGTGCTCTAGTTGGATTAACCGAGACTGGATGAGAACGCTGAATGAGAACTTCTTTAGGGCAAACTTTAAAAAAACCACCAACAGGATGTGTTTGCATGAAGCGGGAGAAGCTTTGGCTAAATGAGTAACTATGTCTGAGTCTAATTATTCCCTAGCTCGCTATCTATATTTTCGTCGTATATACTTATCCTTATCACAAATGCACACTGATTACACTATACGGGCGTTATTATTATGCGAATTATTCCATGAGGGATTGTCCAAGTTGGAACGATTTGAATGCCGAATAAAGGGATTTAAATGATGTTGCCGGGCAAGAAGATGACATGATAAAAGGGATCACTAAGATTGGATAACCTGTTCATTCATAAGGTCGGTGATGTACGTATAAGTCATCAGAAGAGTGACGAAGGAGACCGATTGAATAGGTAAGTCATAGCCATTTGAAGAAAGATTAAGGCTAGCATAAGGTCAATGGGTATAATGTATAATATGATAAATGAGGGTCAAGCTATGATCCTTCGACATAATTAAGATTATTTTCAAGGATTTTAATTGTCATTTTTCAATTACTAGCTTAAACTTCCTTCACGTATCATGCTATCTATATTCCTGGCCTGATTAGCCGAGAATGAACTACTCTAAAATTTAATGGCCTTCCAAAATTTCGAAGCCTTTACTTTATATTAACAGTGAAGTTTGTTCATGGTGTGATGAGGATCGACTGGATCGGCTGTAATTATCCATCTTTGTGTTAAATTGAGGATGTGAAAACTACGATGCTATGATCTGTATGATCAAAGTATTGTTATATAGGAATGATTTAACCTCGTTTTCTTAACTTGGTATCATTTCCAGAAGGACTTAGATGAATGCATCTTGTCCAGACTCCTCTATCATAGAATCCATGATACTTTCCAGTGCCGACAGTGGAATTGGTGTATTCCCAGGCATTTTGCCGACATCGTCAATGAGCCTTGCCATTTTTTGCACCAAACAAAGGCTTGTTAAAGAGTCATTCGATGATAGTTGTGTTCACCCTATTTCGTTTCTGGTGATGAGAGGCTGGTAGTTGAATTTTCTCACAATGATATGAGAACAGTTTTTAATCTCTCTATCTCTCTCTCGCTATATATATATATATATATACCCAATTCTCATCACTATTAATGTTTCAGGCTCTGACGACGGTCCGTTCATTGTTTACTTTTAGTACCCTAAGCCTTACCTGTAGTTGTTGTTAGCCAACGCCACTCCAATTGCACCTTAGCTTTTATCCTCTTGTATTCCATCAGATATGAACTCCAGCTTTGCTTTATTCAGGTTTACGTAAGTACTTTAATGGAATATGGATTTCATTTCATGTCGCATCATTGGTCATTTTCCTTTACTAATTAGAGATATCTATTACTTCCTTGTCAAAAATGCTTTAATTATTTCCCATATAATACTGGGATAAAACTAGGCCTAAAACCGACCGGAGGCAGC